CAGGATTTGGCTCATCTTTCCCGTATACGCATGAAATCTGTACGATAAAATAGAAAGTTTGACTTGACCAAACAAAAATAAAGTAGTACTACAAATTTAGAAAGTTCTAAAATTGATCTGCACGCCGTCCGACAATTTTGGTGTTGACTGAATGTGTTACAAAAAGAGTACGATACAGCCGAAGAACCAAATTAATTTGCATGATTGTTAATGTTTCTTTATTAATTAGCAATTTTTATTTTTTTAATTGACACGTGATATTTTGTGACGTCCCAAAACCCGAATTCGAGGCGCGACAGATGCCGTGCACTCGTGAGAGAGTCCCACAAATGCACAAGGCTTGAAACTTATCCAAATCACAAACTCTATTCTTGCAAAATCTGTTTTAAAACCATAAAATTCAAGGTACAATCTATCTTCCAAAAATGATAATATATTCCATAAATCTATGTCCAACATGACATAAACTCAAAATAATGAATCTAACTTACAAGGACAATCTAAACTCAAAATCTATATCCAAATGCAATAGCTAGCCAATTAGCTCGTCACTCCCCTTGATTTTCATGTCTCGGGTCATACTACTTGAAATAGTGGACAAAGGAAAAATTATGAGATAAACTCAGTAAGTAAAATATGGAGTACCCTTAATAAATTTATAGCATGCCAACAAGTGCAATCATGAAAAACGGATACATTACAGGAACGAAATAGATGTCTCCTCTATAGATCATGGCTAGCGTTTAACACCCACTAGCAGGGTCACTTGAGCGAACCAGTTCTATCACTAACATGTTGACATGTGCTAGCGTATAATCCCCACTAGCAGGGTCACTAATAAGGCAAAATACCCAAATCCACCCTCCAAGTATAGTGGCAGGGACGGATTCACCTCCGAACAAAAAACGGGGACAAATCCACTCACAAAGTTTTCGACTTGGACATATAACCCATTATTTGACGGGCCACATCAACTGACGTCATCTTCCCGTTAACTGCGTGCTGACTCATACATTTTAAACACGATGGAGGTTTTTTTGCCTGTGTGGATGTTGAACTGACCCATTCCCACCCATTTTAATCCTATGTGGCAACTTTTCCCCCTTTTCCATTACACATCAACTGGGTCCCACCTAAAAATATATAAACATTAAAAAAACCCATATTTTATCTGTGTTTTCCCCCTTCCTTTCCTCTTCTGTGGTTAGGGTTTCTCTTTATCCTCCAAATCTGGGTTAGGGGAAGCTGAACACGCAACCATATGATCAACACTTGACCAAGTCTTGACTAGTATGCCGGGATGTGCAGATCAGTTTGGGTGGGTAGGGGAGAAGGTGGAACAGTTGAAAGAGGGGAACAAGTGGCTGGTTGTGGGGATTTGCTCATGGATCGAGTATGAGAGGAACGAAGAGGAACAGACGACATATGGAATGGCGGAAAGGAAGATCTAGTGTCCAATCGAGCGGTGGTGATGAGATAGTTCGGTTGTGTGCAAAGGAAAGAATTGAGGGAGGTGGGAGGTGTGGTTGAGCAGCAGGGGAGTCCATTATTGGCCCCCTAACCCGCTAATATCAAGGCTACAGCCTTGTGCTGAGATGTTGCCACCACCGTTGTTTTTTTAGCGGTTAAATGCTAGTTTTGGTCCCTCAACTTTAGTGGTTTGCACATTTTTGGTCCCTTAACAATTTTTTGCACTTTTTTGATCCCTCAACTATACGAAATGC